GGACCAAAAATACAAAGAGAAAAGCTGATAAAGGAAGTAATGGGAATTTCATGAGCCAGTAAGTTTAAATAGGAAATAACATATAGACCTACTATTAGCCAGTGACTAAATGGTTCACGAATCTGTATATCTTGTGAAGTGATGAAGAGAAGTAGGAGAAATAAACACTGCCTGAGTGGTAATTACATAGGAATTAGAGGACATGTAAGTGGAGTATAGTGGAAGGAGAAATGAAAGTGTAAGACAGTACACTAGAGGACAAAGGGTGGGGGGGGGGAGACTACTTAACCCTTCAACTGTCCAAACGTAATGATGAGAGTAAGACACATGTGCAACATCTGGGTATCTTTATTGTAGACGTTTCGCCATCCAGTGGCTTTATCAATACAAATTCCAGGACATATCTTGAAGACAGTAGAACTATGTACAGAAGATGAGGTAATCAGTCCCTCAACCTAGGAGTAGGTGCGAACAGCACCATAGTCGTGGAGATTCTGAAGCAGAAGAAAGAATCTTGGCGCTTATATAGTAACGTCAGGTGAAGCAGACGAGGGCAAATTCATGGAATCTTAATTCTGAGGACATGTACATAACCTTCACAACTACGACAACTACTACTACAACTACCCATCTCTTTGGGAAGGACCTACTTCCACTGGGGAATCCAGCCCACCAGTGAATTTGCCCTCGTCTGCTTCACCTGACGTTACTATATAAGCGCCAGGATTCTTTCTTCTGCTTCAGAATCTCCACGACTATGGTGCTGTTCGCACCTACTCCTAGGTTGAGGGACTGATTACCTCATCTTCTGTACATAGTTCTACTGTCTTCAAGTTATGTCCTGGAATTTGTATTGATAAAGCCACTGGATGGCGAAACGTCTACAATAAAGATACCCAGATGTTGCACATGTGTCTTACTCTCATCTTGTCGGTATTATATACCATTCGTACACAACTTGTCAGACACTGCAACATCATGGAATCTTAATTCTGAGGACATGTACATAACCTTCACAACTACGACAACTACTACTACAACTACCCATCTCTTTGGGAAGGACCTACTTCCACTGGGGAATCCAGCCCACCAGTGAATTTGCCCTCGTCTGCTTCACCTGACGTTACTATATAAGCGCCAGGATTCTTTCTTCTGCTTCAGAATCTCCACGACTATGGTGCTGTTCGCACCTACTCCTAGGTTGAGGGACTGATTACCTCATCTTCTGTACATAGTTCTACTGTCTTCAAGTTATGTCCTGGAATTTGTATTGATAAAGCCACTGGATGGCGAAACGTCTACAATAAAGATACCCAGATGTTGCACATGTGTCTTACTCTCATCTTGTCGGTATTATATACCATTCGTACACAACTTGTCAGACACTGCAACATCATGGAATCTTAATTCTGAGGACATGTACATAACCTTCACAACTACGACAACTACTACTACAACTACCCATCTCTTTGGGAAGGACCTACTTCCACTGGGGAATCCAGCCCACCAGTGAATTTGCCCTCGTCTGCTTCACCTGACGTTACTATATAAGCGCCAGGATTCTTTCTTCTGCTTCAGAATCTCCACGACTATGGTGCTGTTCGCACCTACTCCTAGGTTGAGGGACTGATTACCTCATCTTCTGTACATAGTTCTACTGTCTTCAAGTTATGTCCTGGAATTTGTATTGATAAAGCCACTGGATGGCGAAACGTCTACAATAAAGATACCCAGATGTTGCACATGTGTCTTACTCTCATCTTGTCGGTATTATATACCATTCGTACACAACCTGTCCAAACGTAGCTCTGCGTTCACACATGCAGCGCTCCGTATATTTTGAAAAAAAAAAAATAATTAAAGAGGGCAATTTTCTCTGTTATAAAACCCCCAAAAAAATTTAGGACCAGTACTTACTGAGATATAAGACCACGAAGTTGGTGCTGGATACTCACCTGACGGCAACATCAAATCCTGCCGCTTGCAGAAGTGTTGCCGATATACTTTTTTTCTCGTTTTTATTTTAATTTATAATTTTTATGTTCTGGTAATTACAATTTATAATAGTTCTTGTGATTTCATAGCCAATCTTTGTTCTGACACTAATATTAGGTACTGAGATAGTACTCAGATAGTCACGATCGCACCTGCAGGTGTACATTTTCACCTGCCTTGGTCATTTACTATTGTCTAGAAATATATACAAAGTATTTATAGGTCTCAGCAATGTTTTAGACATGCTAGAGTATATATGAAACTCCTCGAAGCATGGTGTTTATGACGAGTCACTAAACTGCTGACAGGGTAAGCAGTGGAGTGACAATGATAAAGCACTGCTGCAGGGAACCCTCGCTTTATTTGTTTTCTCTATTACACACAAACATGTCTGTCTGTCCATCTGTGTCTGTATCTGTCTAGCTCTGCCTATGTCTTTCTGTCTTTCTGGTCCAAGTCAGACTGAAACGTTGTAAGCTCCTCACTTCTATGTGCGGGTTATTTGTGTATCGTTCCAGTCATGGTATTGTGCCTTTTTTTGTTATTTCTGTCTGCCTGTGTATGTCTTTGTTTGTCTCAGGGAGCGACTCGTAAACCTGTTGGTTTACAAGCCACTCCCTGATTCCTGAGCAAGTGAAAATGTGTATTACATGCATCATGCTTGTTATGCCTTAAATCTACAAGCAGTGTATAGCACTTGTCTGTCTGTGCATGCGCATGCGTGCGTGCGTGCGTGCATGCGTGTGTGTAAGAGAACAGATTTAGTTAAACCTAAGGACTTCTTTTACTTGGACCTTTAGCTACTGGATAACTTATGGCAAAAATCATTTACGTTCATTTTATCATGTGTAGAACATGGTAATTTCCTTACCTGATTAACCCTCACAGGGTTTCCAATGTACTGGTATGGCTTACGCACCATGGTTATTGATGTACTAGTACGTCTAAATTCTAGCGCCTTCAGATCTAGCGAGAGAAAGCTGGTAGGCCTACATATGAAAGAATGGGTCTATGTGGTCAGTGTGCACAGTATAAAAAAAATCCTGCAGCACACATTGCATAATGAGGAAAAAAAAAACCTTTGATCATGTTTTTGGTTACAACAGTGACTTTGCACTATATTTTCTATTGGTATTTATGGTTGTATTCTAGTTTTCCTGGTCTCATTTTATAGAGTGGAATACATATTACAGAAATTGAGATGATGTTGATTGGTTTCACAATGAAAAGTACCTTGAAATTGAACTCAAAGTACAGTGGAACCTCAAAAATCGAACTGCTCCCAACACGACCAATTATGTAAGTGTATTTTTGTAAGTGCTTTTATAAGTGTATTTTTGAGGGTCTGAAATGGACTAATCTAATTTACATTATTCCTAATGGGAATAAATTCATTCGGTAAAGGCACTCGAACAGCCTTCTGGACCGAAGAAAGTTTGATATTTGAGGTTCCACTGTAGCAGAAATGTTCGATTTTTGCCAAAGTTCAAAAGTAAACAAATCATGCCACACGTCCAATACACGTCAACTGGTGAGTCTGATATTCTTTCACAAGTGCGCTGATATTATTTATACCATTTCTACACTAATGCAGTAGTCTGCATAACAGTAAATCTTCTATTTTTTTTTTGTGAGAATAAAAATTCAAAGTGGAAAGCAAAAGAAATGTAAGAGGGCCCTGGGGACGTGACTAATGAACAGAGTAAATGTTATTTTAATGCCAGGAATGTCTGTCTTGTTTATTCTGGACCCTATTTGGAAATTGGCATTTTTTGAAATTTGTGTGAAATTGGCAAAATTGCTAATTTCTGGCCACTTTATTGAATAGTTGAAATCGCTAAATGGGTGGTTTCTTGTACTCATTCGATAGAAAAAATGGAGTTCTAGCAAAATATTTATGATTTTTGTTGACTAGTACACTGGAATTGGCTGAAAATGAGGCCCAAAGTTGGCGAAATTGCCGATGCGTAAACATCGTCAAGACCGCTAACTTCGCGAGAGCATAATTCCATAAGTTTCCCATCAAATTTCTTACTTTTGGTGTCATTATGATTGGGAAAAGATTCTCTATCTTTTCATAAGAGAAATAATTTTCTTTTTTCGAAAAATTTTCGACCCTGAGAACAGGTTTAGGAGAGGGCCTCTCGACCCTGAATGGGTTAAGGCCATTCATGAATTTGTTTCCAACAGTGTAATAGATCTTGTTAATTTAAATAAGAATTTTCTAGTCTTTATTGTCTCTATTCCCTATATAAATATTGTCTTAGAAGAAGTTTCTTCAGCTGGTATGTTACCCTAGGGTCATTGTCATATTAATTAATGAATATTGTTGTATGCAAAGGCATTTTACTTATAAACTTATGATGCTTTATATTGTCATATCTTTTGGAACTTTAAAAGGTAAATTTATTCAATGAAGTGAGCAGCTGAGTGCAAATTCATGATACATTTTAATAACTGACTAAAAAAAATTCAGTTATGATACTCTGCATACTGTATTTACATGACCAAGTAGTGTTTATTTTTTAAATGTTTTCTTAAGTTTTGTTGGCTTGTAATGGTTTACAAATTAGTGATACCAGGTAAAAGTCTTGAAATTGTTGAATTATTAATTTTTGCACTCAGTAAAAAGTACAGTGGACCCCCGCTTAACGATCACCTCCCAATGCGACCAATTATGTAAGTGTATTTATGTAAGTGCGTTTGTACGTGTATGTTTGGGGGTCTGAAATGGACTAATCTACTTCACAATATTCCTTATGGGAACAAATTCGGTCAGTACTGGCACCTGAACATACTTCTGGAGTGAAAAAATATTGTTAAACGGGGGTCCACTGTACTTTTAAGAATTTGTATGTTCAGCTCAGCTTTAACAATTTGCAACAATCTAAAGTATTTGATGATTTTTTTTTTTTTGAGTGACCTTTTTTTTTTTTACCACTAAAGATATACCAAATTATGCTTTATTTGAAATATAAAATAATATAAAAAATATTTTCATGCAGAGTTACGGCGAGCAAACCTCAACAGGAGGATCAGCGTACTCTAGTACACTATCTACTAGTGCATCAGTTAGCAGCAACAGTACGAGTAATAGTACTGGTCCTGCAGTACTTTCTGCTTCTTTAAACTCTGCATCCTCCCACCCTGTCCAGCCTTCGAAGCCATCAGTCCCAGGTTTGTGTCACATCCCTTGGATTCCTCTCCTAAAATATTTGGATTTGTTGAAATAAGATTCCACAGTGTGAGGAGAGCAAGCACTGGTTTTCTTTTGGGTAATATAGAGTTTGTTAATTTTGGATAGGGAAGTAATGTAGTAGATGTAAGGTGGTAGGTTACTTGAAGCATTTAAAAGTTTTTGTGAGGATAGTGAGACTCCAGGTTAGAGTGTGTAGGAGAGAGGGAGATTATTTTCCATTAAAAGTAGGCCTTAGACAAGGATGCATGATGTTACCATGGTTGTTTAAACTTTTAATGATGGGGTTGTAAAAGAACTGAATGCTACGGTATTGGGGAGAGGTGCGGGATTTAAAGAAAGAATCTAATACGAATTGAGAGTTATTACATTTGCATTTTGCTGATGACATGGTGCTTTTGGGAGAGAAGTTGCAAAGAATGGTTGATGAATTTGGAAGGGGATGTAAAAGAAGGAAATTAAAAATAAACATAGGAAAGCACAATGTGATGAGAGCAACAAAAAATTAAAGTAATGAAAGATTGGCTATCAGATTGGAGGGAGGTAGTATGGAGGAAGTGAATGTATTCAGACATTTGGGCATGGACTTGTTAGTGGATGGGTCTGAAAGATGAGGTGAACCATAGAATTGATGAGGGGAAACAGATAAGTGGTGCATTGAAACATCTTTGGAGACAGGAAACGTTATCCATGGATGCAAAAGGAATGTATCAAGAGTATATTGGTGCCAATTCTCGTATATGGATGTGAAGTATGGGTTTTAAATGTTGCAATGAGGAGGAGGCTAGAAGCAGTGGAGATGTTCTGTCTTGAGGGTAATGTGTGGTGTGAATATTATGCAGAGAATTTATAACTTTGAGATTAGGAGGAGGTGCAGGATTACTATTATCCGGAGGGCTGAGGAGGGGCCGTTGAGGTGGTTTGGAAATTTAGAGAGGAAATAACAAAATAGGATGTCTTGGAGGGTGTATAAATCTGTAGTGGAGGGAAGGCATGGTAAGGGGTTGTCCTAGGAAAGGTTGGAGTGAGCGTGTTAGATGGGAGTGGAGCCAAGGGGTTTTTATCACTTGCTGTTGGAGTGTGAGCAAATTATCATTCATGAAGAGATTCACACAAACTGGTTAGCTGGACTTGAGTCCTGGAGGTGGGAAGCACAGTGCCTGCACTCTGAAGGAGGGGTGCAGATGTTTACAGATTTGAACTGTGGTGTTGGCGTGCCTCTGGCAAGACAGTAATGGGGAAAGTGTTTCTTATTTTTGGGGAAACCCTACCTTGATGGGAGATGGCCAGTGTGTTAAAATTTTTTTTTTTTTTATATAAGAGCTTGATAACTGAGAAATGAACCACCAGAAAGTGTCATAAAAGTTCACGAATGATGATTTGTAGTTGAACTTTCAAATTATACAAAGTTGATTTGGAAAAAATAGATTAAAATGTTGCAGTAATTGTTTAGCCAGTGTGTCATCTAAGAGTGTGTGTTTATCATTCAACATTGATGCTATAGTTTGTCAGCCGTAGTGACTAAAATATAAGATTGGTGACATTTATAATTAGGTTCTTTGTTACATTTTAAATTCATATGAATTGAGATAAAAAATCAGTGAGTCATCCTCAATACTCAAAACAAATATTTTTTTTCTATATTGGACAGGAAGAAATGGTGTCTTGAATACAAGTAGATGGGAAGATTCTCAGTTCTGGATGGTGGCTGTGATAAAATAACGGTGCGTGAAAGGAACAACGATTTTTCACTCTGAATTCTCAAATTTAAGCCAGTGGAAGGTTTCACTCAAATAAGCAAAAGCTCCACTGAGCTGGTAATAATAATATCCACATCAGGAGAAATTTTTACATTTCTCCTGACAAATTACCACCACCAAATTCATCAGAAACTCATTTTGATTTCAGAAAAGTATTACTGTCAACATTTGGATTTTAATTATGAAAATTTTTATTCAGTATTTGGTTTTCTAAATTAGAGACCATTGTCCAAAATAGAATATCTGGATTATTTTTCAAAATTTGGATTTATTTGTTTTGAAGGGTAATATAAATCCTGATTATCAGAATTTTTCAAACTTGGATTTTTTTCAAGAGAATTTTTATTTTTTTTATTTTTCCATAATTCATACACTGCTGAACACGCATTATTCTGAATAGAAGAGAATCGCTTGTGAATGCAAGTGATCAGTGAGAGACTTGTAGTTAATTTGGGGGGAAGGAGTGAAGTATATAAAGGAGGCTTAATTGGAAAATAATGGCATTAAAATGCTCTTGAGGTACTGTGTGTAAGAGTTGTAATAGTTTTGTTAACTGTGACCCAGATGTAGGATGTTCAGTAGGAGATATCAGAATGATGGTAAGGTGAGCATTGGTGCATGAACAGAACACTGAAATCTTAGACAGGGAATTTTTTTTATGATGCTTGGGCCCATGAGTGAGGTTCTGAAAATGCAAGAGAAAATTCATAAGTTCTCAACAATATACATTATAACTACATTCTAACAAGGTACGTTCCAGAAGGCTGTTCATAAGTCATTATTTTGCCATTTTTTCATTGTTACAATTATTATTATTATTGTTTTAAACCCTTTCCGGGTCTGTGCCGTACTAGTACGGCTTGAGAGCCAGGGTTGGTGCCGTACTTGAACATGTAAATTCTAGCGCCTTCAAACTAGCAAGTAAATCTTCTATATTTTTGCGTGAATAAAAATTCAAAATGGAAAGCAAGAGTAATATAAGAGGGTCCTGGAGACGTGACAGATGAACAGAGAAAATATTGTTTTAGTGCCAAGAATGTCTGTCTTGTTTATTCTGGACCATATTTTGAAATTTGTGTGAAATTGGCCAAATTGCCAAATTCTGACCACTTTGTGTAGTTCTAGTTCTTTGTGGAGTTCTAGCGAAATAGTTATGATTTTAATCGACTGGGACATTGGAATTGGCTGAAAATAGGGCTCAAAGTGGGCGAAATCACTGATGCGTATATATCGTCGAGACTGCTAACTTCACGAGAGCATAATTCTATAAGTTTTCCATCAGATTTCATACTTTTGGTGTCATTACCATTGGGAGAAGATTCTCTCATCATTTCGTAAGAATTTTTTTTTCTGAAATTTTTGACCCTGAGGAAGAGTTGAGGATCAGGGGTCTCGACCCTGAAAGGGCTATTATTATTATTATTATTATAATTATTATTATTATTATTATTATTATTATTATTATTCTCTCTCTGCTCCGTTGTTCGTTGTAAACTTAAAAACAATACTGTACAGTATCAGTAATCTACGGTTCTTAATACTAAAGCGTATTTTAATAATACTGTTATAAAAACTTTTCCTTTTTAATTGGTACAGTAAACGTGAGGTGATAGATAAGAGGAAGATTGGAGGTTGTGTGCAGCTACTGGGGGAGAGGGTCATCAACCTCATACACTTCATCATCAAATGCTTCATCAGTCAGGGTTTCGTAAGCCTGGGTTTCTTCAACATCTGAAGAGGCAGTTGAGGTAGAAGGCACTGATCTGAAGAATTTGTCTAAGGAAGTTTGCACCGTTTTTCTCTTCTAGTCATATATAAGACAGTAGCATAAGATAGAATTGTTAACACCAGTTGAAACCTTTGAGAATCTCTCGATATTGGGGTCCTGAAGCTCAACATAGAGACCTCTCTCTATAAGAGAAAATGCCGTGGTCATCATTTTTGTCTCCACTTTTTAGAAGGAACAGTTTCATCTTGTTCCTCTTGCTCTTCCTTATGCTGCATCTTTTCCAGCTCTATCAAATCTTAATTCGTCAGCTCTTCAGATTGTGACTCAAACAGCTCCTTCCATGGTGCCCGGGATGGGTTGCAGCAAAATGTCATACTACACAGAAGATGCTCAGCTCAAAATTTGGATTTGTGGAAGTATTGCGAATGAAACTTTAACATGGCAGTCTGTTCGTATGTCTGAATGTTCATAACTCGAATGTTTGTAAGTAGGTAGCGTCTGTATTCTGTGGTAATATGGATTTTTTCTTATAGTTTACTTTGAAGCAGTGTTATCATAATTGCTACCAATTGCCAACATAGAAGTAAATGGATTTATACTGAGAACAAAGTGGTGGGGAAGCCAGTTTTTTAGCTTAACTTTTTTATTGCAGTGGGATATACAACTTTTTAACTGAAGGGTTTAATTGCATTCCCATTGTAATGCTTTCGTTGCTATAACTTGTCCTAGCAAACTTCATATTTTCTTTGGCCCACTGAAAAACTTCGTTTACATATCTTTGGAGATAAATAAGTGTTGTTGACGGATGCCACTTACGCACAAATTCTAGTATCATATGTAGAAGAGCTAGGGCTCTGATTATTTATGGTTTAGCCTCTTTGAACCCACTTTGGCAAAATATCGTGTCATGCCAATTTTTTTTAACTCCTGTGCAGAGTTTGCATCCATTGTCATTTTGAGATCATTCCACTTGTTTACTACTTGTAAGTTGAAGAAATGCTTTGGATATTTCCGAGGCTGATTTTGGTATGTAACAAGTGTATTATTTGTGTATTTACTAGCATAGTATGCAGGAATTAATTGATACCATCTTTCTCTATTTGAATCACTTTTTCTGTGAATTCCATTAGTCAAACATCTAATAAAGACAATAATCTTGTTTTAATAAGAATTAAATTGGTACTTACTTTGCAGGTAAAGTTATAAGTGGCTTGGGTGGTACTGTGCCTCCTGGTGTACACCAGCATCAACCACCACACATGCATCAACATCAACAGGCACAGCAGCATCAGCATCAACAGGTTCAACAACACCAGCAGCAGCAACAGCAGCAACAACAGCAGCAGCAGCAGCAGCAGCAGCAACAGCAAGCACAGCAGATGATGGCACAGCATTCTCAATATGTTTCTCCACCTGCAGCAGCCCTTCAGGGTGCTCTTCCACCTGCCTTCTATACAGGACTTCAACAGCCTATGTACTCCTTAGAGGATTTCCAACTACTGCAGCAGCGAATGCCACATATGGTATTTGTCATCTAAACACATTTTTCTTCCTTCCTGTCCATCCTTTTCTCTCTCTTTGATCTTCCTTTCCCACTGTTCTGCTTTTTTTTTTTTTTTTTTTTACACAGGGTTTGACAAGGTTAAGGATCCCTAGCTTTATTGGCAAGCTATTTACAGGTTAAGGATTCCTAACTTTATTGGCAAGCTAAGAGCTGTTACCTACATCAGCTCATTTGAAAGCATTTTTATTGTTATGAGACATACAAGTAGGGAACAGGATGAAGTTGGAGCCATCTGTGGGCCGGCATTTTCATTTGATCAACTGACTATCTCGTTGACATCATTATGATGTACGAATGTGTTCCATACTCGAGTCATCCTGGGTATGTATGATCTCAGATGGAGTGATGTTCTGGAGAAGGGTACAGCCAAGTTGCTGCTTTCTGCCCGTCTTGTGGCATAAAAGCTTGTTTCACGCTGTCCTTGAAGTGGATCCAAGTGTGGTACTTTGACAATATTGGCCTTGTACATGACAGTAAGGCCACCCACATCCCTCCTATGTTGAAGGCTCTGCTGAAATGACAGATCTATCCAGGATGGGTCCAGGCGAGAGATGAGACGTCTTGCTCTGTTTCTCTCTCTCTCTCTCTCTCTCTCTCTCTCTCTCTCTCTCTCTCTCTCTCTCTATATCTCTATCTCTCTCTCTCTCTCTATCTCTCTCTCTCTATCTCTCTCTCTCTCTCTATCTCTCTCTCTCTCTCTATCTCTCTCTCTTCTCTCTCTATCTCTCTCTATCTCTCTCTCTCTATCTCTCTCTCTCTCTTCTCTCTTCTCTCTCTATCCCCTCTCTCTATCTCTCTCTCTTCTATCTCTCTCATCTCTCTATCTCTCTCTCTATCTCCATTCTCTCTATCTCTCTATCTCCTCTCTCTCTCTATCTCTCTCTCTCTCTCTCTCTATCTCTTCTCTTCTATCTCTCTCTCTCTCATCTCTCTATCTCTCTCTCTCTATCTCTCTCTACTCTCTCTATCTCTCTATCTCTATCTCTCTATCTCTCTCTCTCTATCTCTCTCCTCTCTATCTTCTCTCTATCTCTCTCTATCTCTCTCTTCTCTATCTCTCTATCTCTCTCTCTCTATCTCTCCTATTCTCTCTCTTTTCTTCTCTCTCTCTATCTCTCTTCTTATCTCTCTCTATCCTTCTTTCTATCTCTCTCTATCTCTCTCTTTATCTCTTCTTCTCTCTACTCTCTCTCTCTCTATCTCTATCTCTTCTCATCTTCTCTATCCTCTTCTCTCTCTTCTCTCTCTATCTCTCTCTCTCTCTCTATCTCTCTCTATCTATCTCTCTCTATCTCTCTAATCTCTCTCTATCTCTCTCTTATCTCTCTCTCTTTATCTCTCTATCTTTATCTCTCTCTCTATTCTCTTATCTCTATCTCTCTCTCTCTATTCTCTCTTACTCTCTCTATACTCTCTATTCTCTTTCTCTCTCTCTCTCTCTCTTTTTTATCTCTCTTCTCTCTACTCTATCTCTCTCTCTAATCTCTCATCTCTTCTATTCTCTCTCTTCTCTCTCTCTCTTATCTCTCTCTATCTCTCTCTCTATCTCTCTCTTATCTCTCCTCTCTTATCTCTTCTCTCTCTTCTCTCTATCTCTCCATCTCTCTATCTCTCTCTCTATCTCTACTCTCTATCTCTCTCTCTCTCTTTTCTCTCTTTATCTCTCTCTATATATCTCTCTACTCTATATATCTCTCTTATCTCTATATATCTCATCTCTATATATATTTTATATATCCTTCTTATCTCTATATCCTCTATAATCTTTCTCTCTATTATACTCTCATCTATATCTCTCTCTCTTTATCTCTCATCTATATCTCTCTTCCTCTAATCTCTCATCTCTATATTCCTCTCATTCCTCTATATTATATCTCTCTCTCATTCTCTCTCTCTATCTCTCTCTATCCTCTCTATCTCTCCATCTCTCATCTCTATCTCTTCTATCTCTCCTCTATCTCTCTATCTCTCTATCTCTATCTCTCTCTATCTCTCCTCTATCTCTCTCTCTCTCTCATCTCTCATCTCTCTCTCTCTCTATCTCTCCTTCCCACTCTCTCTCTCTCTCTCCTCCTCTCCCATATATATATATATATATATATATATATATATATATATATAATATTATTATATATATATATATATATATATATAATTATATATAATATATAATTTTCAACAAGTCGGCCGTCTCCCACCGAGGCAGGGTGACCCAAAAAAGAAAGAAAATCCCCAAAAAGAAAATACTTTCATCATCATTCAACACTTTCACCACACATGCACATTATCACTGTTTTTGCAGAGGTGCTCAGAATACAACAGTCTAGAAGCATACACATATAAAGATACACAACATATCCCTCCAAACTGCCAATATCCCAAACCCCTCCTTTAAAGTGCAGGCATTGTACTTCCCATTTCCAGGACTCAAGTCCGACTATATGAAAATAACCGGTTTCCCTGAATCCCTTCAATAAATATTACCCTGCTCACACTCCAACAGATCGTCAGGTCCCAAGTACCATTCGTCTCCATTCACTCCTATCTAACACGCTCACGCACGCTTGCTGGAAGTCCAAGCCCCTTACCCACAAAACCTCCTTTACCCCCTCTCTCCAACCCTTTCAAGGACAACCCCTACCCCGCCTTCCTTCCCCTATAGATTTATATGCTTTCCATGTCATTCTACTTTGATCCATTCTCTCTAAATGACCAAACCACCTCAACAACCCCTCTTCTGCCCTCTGACTAATACTTTTATTAACTCCACACCTTTCTCTCTATATATATATCTCTATATCTCTCTCTCTCTCTCTCTATATATATATATATATATATCTCTCTCTCTCTCTCTCTATATATATATATATATATATATATCTCTCTCTCTCTCTCTCTATATATATATATATATATATATATATATATATATATATATATATATATATATATATATATATATATATCTCTATATATATATATCTCTCTCTCGTTTGATGAAAAAAAAAAAATTTAAATTGGCATTTTATCCCAATCATGTGTTAATGCATTCAACGAAATTAATTTAGTTTATTTTACTAAATAACCTTAGCTGAAAGTATTTGATTTTCTTGTTTCATCTAGCAGGCTCCAACCAGTTTGGCTACTGGCCGAGATGGGAACATGACATCTGCAGCTTATTCTGTTGCTGATGCCAAGTTTCGCACAGATCAGAATTCCTCACCGGTTCCATCCACAATGAACCAACAAGTAAGTAATTGTGTATGTTTAAATGTGTATGGATGTAGTGCACGTGATAAGAAAGAGACGATTGTCAGTGTTATGAATGAAAAGAAGCTGGACGTCTTGGCTCTAAGCAAAACAAAGCTGAAGGGGATTGGAAAGTTTCAGTAGGGAGAAATAAATGGGATTAGGTCAGGGGTATCAGAGAGAGAGAGAGAGAGTTAGTTAGTTTAGAGCTAAGGAGGGGTATTGATGTTAAAGGACCAGTTGTGACATGAAAAGAGGGAATGTAAATACATTAAGGATTACGTGGATTGTATAATAAGGGTCGGATGAAAAAAGTGGGTTAAACAAAATGTTTATGCACTTGGAGAGGAATGTGGATGAATTTTGGGAGGGATTGTAAAAGAAGGAAATTAAAGTCAACATAGGAAAAAGCAAGGTGATGAGGGTAACAAACAGTGTAGTTAATGAAAGATTGAATATCAGATTGAAAGGAGTAGACTTGATGGCAGATGGGTCTGTGAAAGACTAGGTGAATCATAGAATTGATGAAGGGGGAAAAAGGTGGGTTGTGCATTGAGGCATCCATGGAAGCAAGAAAGAAATATGAGAGTATAGTGGTACAGGTACGACACCGGCTTTCTGGACACTGATGGTCCAGAACCTCTATAATCCATACAAATTTACGAGTAGGAACTTGAAATTCCTGCAGCTGCCAGACTAGTTTACTGGGCAGTCCACAGATGGCGTTGAGTGTAGCCGTGCTCACTTGGATTGTTGACACTGCACCTGCTGGTGGGGGACACCCAAATTCTATGAGTTTCTTAGCTTATTTTAATTAAATTAAGCCCAGCTATGGCTTCTAAAGGAGAGGAGAGGGAGACTGATGGTGTCAGACATAAATACCAGTTCGTATTGACTCAAGAGAAAGTTGAACTGTTGAAAAAAATGGACCATGGTGCTTCAGTGCACGAGATCTGTGAAGATTGTGGTCTCAGTAAATCATCTGTTTGTTAGCCAATGTGACCACCCCTAGTCCAGAAAAATCAGTAATCCAGAAAAGCCAAAGTGTGAAAAAAAAAATGCTGTAAATATATGCATGTATGGAGACACGAAGGACTGTGCCTGCACTCTGGAGGAGGTGTGAGGATATTTAAGTCTGAGAGGTAATCTGTTTGTGATGTCAGCACACTTCTGAAAAATCTACAGTTGAATTAATGTTGGTGAATGTTTTCTTTGGATCGCCCTGCCTTGGCGGGAAACTGCCATCGAGTTAAAAAAAAAAAAAAATGCTGAACAAGATGTGGATACTTTTATCTCTATTGGCAATAGTGGTTTTATTTTAATTGCAAGATCTTTTATTCTATTTAAATATTTCAGGGTGCACAGGCTGGTGGCACATACATTACGGCGGCAGGCAATGCAGCAATGCCACCCTTTTACATGTACCATAATATGGCAGCAGTCCCAAGCTCATTTCCTCAATATGGTGCTCCTACTATCATACAGATTCCACCTGTTACCAATACTCATACAGGGACAAACACTAACCAATTTCCTGCTGCTCCCAAACTACAATATGGTACAGGAAACTACTATGATAATATATCACAGGTAAGAACTTTGTATTAAAAATTCTTTTGCCAGAAAAGGTTTGGGAGGTATAGGAATGATGTTAACTTTCCACCTGTATCTGCATATAGTATTTGCAATGTTGATTTGCAATAAACTATTCTGCATTAGTCCCAGTAGGTTACTGCTTTGCTCTATTCTCATTATATCATCTGAGGTTAATGACAGATGGCAGCTTATTGTTCCTCATAAGATTTATTTAAACATTATTATTGCTTCTATACTTTTTCAACTCAAGTACATAATGTGAACTTACAAATTTTTATAAAAGTGACATGGAAGGTTCAATTTTAAAAATACACTTTGCATCAAGGGCACTTGGTCACTGTTATAATGGATCAAATAATTTAATGGCTGATAAAGAGCCACAAAGAATGAAATATTTTTGTTTTTAATAAGATCATATTGTAATATTCACACTGGTAGGAAACAGATATGGCTCAGTGTGTATATATATATATATATAAAATATATATAATATATATATATATATATATATATATATATATATATATAATATATATATATATATATATATATATATATATATAATATATATATACATATATAAACACACACACACACACACTGTACATTGTCACTGCTAAAACTATGCTTTAGTACTTGTTATAAGTAATTAATGAACATACAATTTCTGATATATCAGTAAAAGTTATTTTAAGTTATTTCTGTTCAGCATTCAATTGTACTTTGTCCCTAACCCTATTCTCCCCTCTTTCCTTTTCCTTCTTTCCTATCTTCACATTACCCCCTCAATTTCCCTCTTTCTATTTTTACACTTTCCCTTTTCCTCTCATTTCTTCTTTCTCTCCCTCCTTTATTTTTCCTCTCTCTTTCTTCCTCTCGCTTCGTTCTTCCATTCTCCCTTGCTCTTCATCTCCCCGTCCTTATCCCCCCCCCTTCTCGCTCTCTCTCTCTCTTTCTCTTTTCTCTCTTCTCTCTTTTTTCTCTCCTTTTCTCCCCTCTTTTCCTCTCTTTTATCTTTCTTTTCTCCTTTTCTCTTTTATCTTTCTTTTCTCTCTTTCTCCTCTCTTCTCTCTTCTCCTCTCTTCTCCTCTCTTCTCCTCTCTTCTCCTCTCTTCTCCTCTCTTCTCCTCTCTTCTCCTCTCTCTTCTCTCTCTTCTCTCTCCTCCCCTCTCTCTCTCTTCTCTCTCTTCTCTCTCTTCTCTTCTCTCTCTCTCTCTCTCTCTCTCTCTCTCTCTCTCTCTCTCCTCTTCTCTCTTCTCTCTCTCTCTCTTTTCTCTCTCTCTTTTCTCTCTCTCTCTTTTCTCTCATTTCTCTCTCTTTTCTCCTCTTTTCTCTCTTTTCTCTCTTTTTCCTCTCTTTTCTTTTTCTTTCTCTCTTTTCTCTATTTTCTCCCCTTTTCCTCTCTTTTCTCTCTTCTCCTCTCTTCTCTCTCTTTCTCTCTCTTTTCTCTCTTCTCTTTTCTCTCTTTTTCTCCTCTTTTCTCTCTTCTCTTTCCTCTTCTCTCTTTTCTCTCTCTTTTCCTCTTCTCTTTCTCTCTCTCTCTTTTCTCTCTCTTTTCTCTTCTCTTTTTCTCTCTCTTTTCTCTCTCTTTTTCTCTCTTTTTCTCTCTTTTCTCTCTTCTCTTTTTTCTCCTTTTTCTCTCTCTTTTCTCTCTTCTTCTCTCTCTTTCTCCCCTTCTCTCTTTTCTTTCTTCTCTCTTTTCTCTCTTCTCTTTTCTCTCTTTTTTTTTCTCTTTTCTCTCTCTTTTCTCTCTTTTCTCTCTTCTCCTTTTCTCTCTTTTCTCTTTTCTCTCTTTCTCTTTCTTCTCTCTTCTCTCTTTTCTCTCTCTTTCTCTCTCTCTCTCTTCTCCTCTCTTTCTCTCTCTTTTCTGTCTTTTCTCTTTCTTTTCTCTCTTTTCTCTCTTTTCTCTATTTTCCCTTTCTTTTCTCTCTCTCTTTTCTCTCTCTTTCTCTTTCTCCTTTTCCTCTCTTTTCTCTCTTCTTCTCTCTTTTCTCTCTTTTCCTCTTCTCTCTTTTTCTCTCTTTTCTCTTTTCTATCTCTTTTCTCTTCTCTCTCTTCTGTCTCTTTTCTCTTCTTTTTCTCTCTTTTCTCTTTCTTTCTCTTTCTTTTTCTCTTTTCCCTCTCTTTTTTCTCTTTCTCTTCTCTCTTTTCTCTCTTTTTTTTTTCTCTCCTCTCTCTTTTCTCTTTTCTCTCTTTTCTCTCCTCTCTTTTTCTCTCCTCTCTTTTTCTCTCTCTCTTTTCTCTCTTTCTCTCTCTCTCTCTCTCTCTCTCTCTCTCTCTCTCTCTCTCTCTCTCCCCCCTTGCTTTCTCTCTTCCATTTTCTCTCTCTCCTTTCCCTGTTTTCTCTTTCCTCACTTCTCTTCCTCAAAATCCTTGGTATACAGTTTCACATTGCTGAATCAATGTAAAAGTTATTTACACAATTTTCAAAAAGATTTGAAATTGAATATTTAAAATTGACAACCAGTTATTGAAGTCTGCAGAAGTAATCAATAACCTGTAAATGCTTCAAAGAATATTATGTATCTGCACAATTTCATCAACCTATGTGAATAGGGCAAAACTTGATTAGTGTGGTTTTTAGACTCAGGACTTCAAGACTGGTTACGGGTCAGCGACACAGAACCAGAATAAAGCTGGTGGAACAACAACTGGTACAGCCACAAATTCAGGCACTGATCTTGGAGGCTATAAGAACCACCTTAGTAAAATGGGAAGGGTATGTAATTTTTGTCTATTAATAATTTTGTACCTCTCCTAATCTGTTATTTTCTTAAACAGGAAAGTATTTTTGTATGTCAGTGTATTTTTAGGGCATTAATTTTTATTATACCTTAGTGGGAATAAACCACATGAAGTTAAGATTTTTTTATGAAAGTAGAATAGATAATTCGGATGTATGCATGATTTTCATATCAGAATAAGGTAAACACTTATGAAGACCTGAAGGACTGTGGCTGAAACTTTTGCAGAGCACTTCTTGACTGTACTTCCAGGAGTTGTTTTCAGCTTAGAAATATACCTCTTAATCTTTCTGCTGTGTTTAATATTGCCACAAGTTTCTGAAACTTGATGCATAACTTAATGTTTCTCTCCAAGCAGCTCATTTCTGAGGGTGAGTGAGAGAGAGTGAGTGTATGTGCACACATGCACTCACATGTACACACACACCTATATGTGGTATAGGTTTGAGTCCTAGCTTCTGGGCCCACTGCTCAACTTGCTGCCTGCCAAATTCACTCCCTCTTTGCCTCATGTACACTAGCATACCTGCTCTTAAAATTGTGTGTGGAGCTTGCCTCTTCCATTCAATCATTCCACTTCCTGACCACTCTGAGACTGAAGAAATATTTCATGATATCCCAGTGACTTATTTGTCTTTAACTTCCAGGTATATCCCCAGGTTACCCTTTCTTACTTCATACAGCCTGTCTAATCTCCCTTGGTTTTTCTGGCTTTAGTATCATGAGATTCAATTTCATTAGCCTGTCCTCGTAGCTTATGGCCTGTAGCTCTACGTAGAGACTCTTTGCGTTCCTCTGTACTTTCTTCAGTTTCACAACATGCTTTTTCAGGTGTGGGTTGCACATTGGTGCTACATACTCTCAAGGGTGCCATGAATGTCCTAGGAGGGATAAAAACAGAAAATTGAAAAATTGTGGAAAAAAATGTTTTCTTACCGAAAAAAATAGTGCATAATTCTGGCAACATGTTGATGCAATCAGCTTATTTCTTTCATATTTCTAAGTATGTTTTTCCAAAAGTGTAATTTTTTTTGTTCTTGCTGCCATCAAGAGGACATGATGGTAATTAGTTTTTGTTGTTGTTGTTGTTGTTGTTTTTATTCTTTCAGCAAACCGGCCATATCCCACCGAGGCATGGTGGCCCATAAAGAAAAACAAAAGTTTATCTTTTTAAATTTAGTAATTTATACAGGGAAGGGGTTACTAGCCCCTTGCTCCAGGCATTTTAGTTGCCTCTTACAACACGCATGGCTTACGGAAGAAGAATTCTGTTCCATATCCCATGGAGATAAGTGGAAATAAACAAGAACTAGTAAGAAAATAGAAGAAAACCCAGAGGGATGTGTATATATATATGCTTGTACATGTATGTTCTTCTTATTCTTTTTAGTAATCTTTACAGAAAAAGGGGTTACTAGCCCATTGTTCCCGGCATTTTAGTTGACTTTTACAACACGCATGGCTTACGGAGGAAAGATTCTTATTCCACTTCCCCATGGATATAAAAGGAAAAGTAATAAGACCAAGAACTATTAAGATAAAATCAAAGAAAACTCAGATGAGTGTGTATAAATAAACGTGTACATGTATGTGTAGTGTGACCTAAGTGTAAGTAGAAGTAGCAAGACATACCTGTAATCTTGCATATTTATGAGACAGACAAGAGACACCAGCAATCCTACCATCATTTAAAACAATTACAGGCTTTTGTTTTACACTCACTTGGCAGGATGGTAGTACTTCCCTGGGTGGTTGCTGTCTACCAACCTACTACCTGTGTGAGTGTGGTGAAAGTGTTGAATGATGAAAGTATTTTCTTTTTGGGGATTTTCTTTGTGTTTCGGGTCACCCTGCCTCGGTGGGAAACGGCCAACTTGTTGAAAAAAAAAAAATGTATGTGTAGTGTGACCTAAGTGTAAGTACAATGAACCCTCGGTTATCGGCCGTAATCCGTTCCAGAAGCTCAGCCTAAAACTGAAATGATCGAAAACCGAAATAATACTTCCCACGAGAATTAATGTAAATACAATTAATCCATTCCAGACAAAAATATTCACAAAAAAAACAATATTTTTTTTAACAATTAAATCAGTATTACATACCTTTATTGAAGACTAATGCTGGCATTCTGGAATACCTACTACACTTCCTGCATGCCTGCTACACTTCCTGCATACCTGCTATGCTACACTTCCTGCATGCCTGCTATGCTACACTTCCTGCATGACTGCTACACTTAATGCATGCCTGCTACACTTAATGCATGCCTGCTACACTTCCTGCATGCCTGCTACACTTCCTGCATGCCTGCTACACTTAATGCATGCCTGCTACACTTCCTGCATGCCTGCTACACTCCCTGCATGCCTACTACACTTCCTGCATGCCTGCTACACTCCCTGCATGTCTGCTACACTCCCTGCATGCCTGCTACACTCCCTGCATGCCTGCTACACTCCCTGCATGCCTGCTACACTCCCTGCATGCCTGCTAAACTTCCTGCATGCCTGCTACCCTACACTTCCAGCATGCCTGCTACACTCCCTGCATGCCTGCTACACACCCTGCATGCCTGCTACACACCCTGCATGCCTGCTGCACTCAATGCATGTCTGCTACACTTCCTGCATGCCTGCTACACTCCCTGCATGCCAGCTATACTCCCTGCATGCCAGCTACACTCCCTGCATGCCTGCTACACTTCCTGCATGCCTGCTACACTTCCTGCATGCCTGCTACACTTCCTGCATGCCTGCTACACTTCCTGCATGCCTGTTACACTTCTTGCATGCCTGCTACACTTCCTGCATGCATGCTACGCCACACTTCCTGCATGCCTGCTACGTTACACTTCCTGCATGCCTGCTACGTTACACTTCCTGCATGCCTGCTACACTTCCTGCATGCCAGCTACACTCCCTGCATGCCTGCTACACTCCCTGCATGCCTTCTACACTCCCTGCATGCCTTCTACACTCCTTGCATGTCTGCTACTCTCCCTGCATGTCTGCTACACTCCCTGCATGCCTGCTACACCTCATGCTTAAATACCATGGTGTTTCTCACTTTCTTTACAACAGGAACTTTACTATGATCTTTATTTGGAGCCAGTTGCATTGCAAAAAATCACAAAAAACAATGGAAAACAAGCAAAATGTTTGGATGTGTGAGCTAAAGCTTCCGTACACACCGAGAGACACAGCCAAACTGATGCGCAAGCTGCCACGTCCGGCGGACGGACACGTCTGAAACGGCCGATCACCAGGAGCCGAAAAACTGGCCGAAAACCGAGGGTCCACTGTAGAAAAAGCAAGACTTACCTGAAATCTTGCATGTTTATGAGACAGAGAAAAGACACCAGCAATCCTACCATCATGTAAAACAAGTACAGGCTTCCATTTTACACTCTGTAGGCAGGATAGTAGTACCTCCCTGGGCGGTTGCTGTCTACCAACCTACTACCTAGGTTTTTTTTTATTACTCAAAAAAATTATGATTTTTATGATCGTTTCATTCTAAATACTCTACATGGCAACTTCTCTGAGGACTAAATTCAAGAGCATGAGTGATTGCAGCTCAGTCACCTGTGGGCTGTCAACATCAATGGACATGTGCAACATACTAAGATTTGGCATGCCATGACCATGGAGTTTTACAGAAAACTTAATATACAGTAGGGCCCCACTTATACGGCAATATACAGTAGGGCCCCACTTATATGGCAATATACAGTAGGGCCCCACTTATACAGCAGGTTAGGTTCCAGGCTACTGCTGGAAAGCAGACACCGACGGAAAACTGAACGCCATTTTTTCCACTTGTAAATGCCAGATAACAAGTTTACACTAACATATATTAAGTTAGCAATAGAACTAGGCATTAAAAGCAATAAAAAGTATAATACACACACAGTACATCCATTACTTACCTTAAAGTATTTGTAGTCTTACGGTAGGGTGAGAGGTGAGTTTTATTTGTAGGAAGTCAGGTTTGGGAGGTATGGTAGCCAGCCAGGTCAGCCCACCCCACCCACGTGTAATATGATACAACATTTAATTAAAGCGCCCCAGAGTGATAAAATACATATACAGTACATTCATTAACCCTTTCAGGGTTTCCGACATACTAGTATGGCTTACGCACCAGGGTTATTGACGTACTAGTACGTGTAAATTCTAGTGCCTTCAAATCTAGCGAGAGAAAGCTGGTAGGCCTACATATGAAAGAATGGGTCTACGTGGTCAGTGTGCACAGTATAAAAAAACATAGTGCGTAATGAGAAAAAAAAAACTTGGACCATGTTTTTCGTTTAAAACAGCAACTTTGCGCTGTATTTTTGTATGGTATTTATGGTTGTATTCTAGTTTTCCTGGTCTCATTTTATAGAATGGAAGACATGTTACAGAAATTGAGATGATTTTGATTGGTTTTACAATGAAAAGTACCTTGAAATTGAACTCAAAGTAGCAGAAATGTTCAATTTTTGCATAAGTTCAAAAGTAAACAAGTCATTCCATGCGTCCAATACACGTCAACTGGTGAGTCTAATATTCTTTCACAAGTGCGTTGATATTATTTATACCATTTCTACACTAATGCAGTAGTCTGCATAACAGTAAATCTTCTATTTTTTTTGTGAGAATAAAAATTCAAAGTGGAAAGCAGAAGAAATGTAAGAGAGGCCTGAGGATGTGACTAATGAACAGAGAAAATGTTATTTTAGTGCCAGGAATGGCTGTCTTGTTTATTCTGGACTCTATTTGGAAATTGGCATCTTTTGAAATATGGGTGAAATTGGCAAAATTGCCAATTTCTGACCACTTTATTGGATAGTTGAAATCGGTAAATGGGTGGTTTCTTGTACTCATTCGATAGGAAAAATGGAGTTCTAGCGAAATAGTTATGATTTTTGTCGACTAGTACACTGGAATTGGCCGAAAATAGGGCTCAAAGTGGGCGAAATTGCCGATGAGTA